AGTTTATGTAAAGCGGAAATCGATAACAAATCGAAAACGAATTACATAAAAGGAGATACTGAATTGATAAAAGCCGTGACCTATGCTATTGCATAACTTATGATGATTGCCGGAGTATCAGTGAATCAAGTAAACGGTTCATAAAGTCTTATTATAAATCTAGTAATACTGAACATCAGTATGTCAATCTTATCACTAGACAGCGGATTTTATGCATTTATGAAAAAAATGAGTAGCTCAAATGATAAACAGTAAAAACATTTACAGAATTCACAAAGACTGTTATATCCCTACCAGTTGAATAAAATTATTAATAAGGAAAATGAATGTATGTGTAGCTGCATTATCTTGAAATTAATGCGAACAGTTTTTACTTTGCATAAAAATCCGCAATCCACTTATCACTATTATTATTATTACATTATATCACATTATACAATATATCACATTATTATTATATAATTGCATTTGCCTTGCACTTTCATCCTTTAATTTTCTTCTGTGAAATATGTGAAATTCAACATACGAATTCATTCTGGCATTTTAATTCTGACTCTCTTAATTGATGTTCTTTCAATTGTTAGTTAAACCCATCGTTGTCCAAAACATTTCATTAAAAACTAATATTACCTAAATTTATTTATACGATCTATTTAGCACCGCTGAAAAATACTACAATTTGTTCTTATACGCAATTGTGGTGTTATTTATTGTTTAGTCTGGCTAACATAGAATCGCAGAGAAGTTAAGAGAATATACCCTGCACTGTTATTCAAGTTTGTAGGTGTCGAGAATGTTTTAATTGCGAAAGCAACTTTGCGTTAATATCCATCTTGTTACTATCGACAGATTAAATTGTACAAAAGATTTATGTACTTAAAATGGTCCACAGCTGCTTTCATGTAACAGCGGGTCTCTGGAAGCCTGACGGACGTTTTCGAAAAATTGCAAGAGCATAATCTGGCGCAGTTAGGCGAGTGAAGGGGTGAATCAATCAAAGCAGGGCAACTCGAAAGCAAACGAGCTAGTTAAATTACCTCACTCCGGAATCCTTATTGCCGAAACCACGCCCCTCGCGGTGCTCGGCAAGCGAGAGTAATCGAGACGTGAAAAAGCCTATCGTCTTCCTCCTCTTCTTCGTCCCGGTTTACAGATCATTCTCGCCGGAGAGTAACCGATATTCCGGGGTCCTTCGGGCCCGCACGAGTTAAAGCGGACGGGGCTAAGGAACGTCTAGGTGGCAAGATCGTCATCGCGGTTTAATTAAATCGAAAATCGGATAGTCATTAATGACAAGTGGCGCCCAATCGCGATGACTTCGTGATTTCTATTGATCCCACGCTGGGACCCCAGCAAGGGCTCGGGACCGCTCGCGGAGTCCCGGAGGGGCCCGATATGGCACCTACAACGACAATCATCGCTGTGGCCCGGCGCGTCGCCCCGTAACGACCGCACCGCCCTCTTAATGTTATCGGTCCGAACAAAAAGGAACAAGGGTAATGGATCCTCCCGCGTACACGATCACCGCTTTCCCATCGTCCACCGATATGCCACGACAATGAGTGATTATCTCCACCGTGGGCCCTGCGACTGGGGCCCATGTCCAGTTGTTTAGGGTGAACGGCCCCGTTCCAATATCTTCAACCAGAATTTCATTTTTCTCTTAAAATTTCCACCGCAATTTTAATTAATCTCTGCACGGTAAACGTTTGCGACGATCATAGTAGCTGTATTAAGCAGAATTGAGCATTATTCGGACTGTCTCGAATAAATATTTGTCAGAAATAATTATTCGAATGAATTCCTTTTAGTCGAATTTTTTAACCGAATAATTTGAAAAATTCTTGAATAATTCTTGAATAATTCGGAAAAGTAATACGGAAGAAAAAAATCGATGAACCATGAGAAAACGTTTTACATTCTATTATTTTTATTCATATCAATTATTTTCCGCATGAATTCCTGCACGAATAAATTCTTATTCGAACGAATTCTTATTCGACTCTCTAAAATCTTATTGGAATGAATTCTTATTCGAATGAAATTTTATTCAAATAACTTTCTAAATATTCGTTTGTATATTTATTCGATAGAGTCGAAGAAAATTGTATTCGAATAAATTTTTGTCTAGATAAATTTTTATTCGGTTGAATATTTATTCGACTGTGTCGAATAAAATTTTATTCTTTAGTGTTTATCTTTTATCTTTATCATTCTGGTATTAAGGGACATATTAGCGGTACGGGTAATCGAGGTCCTACTGAAAAAATGTATAGTTTAAACATACGGGGAATATCTCTATCGTCGTACCAATAAAATGTTCTTTCTGTAGCGGCACGCGTTACATTTCTAAACGTTGAATCAATAACTAAAACAACTTCTACTTCGTAAGGTCTTTGATCCGTTTCTGTATCTCTTGGCGCCATCTCCTGGTTGCTTCGGGGTTCAAATATATATATCGAGTGCGTGTTAATATCTACGCATGAATGGCTCAGAAACCAATCACTGTAAGTTCATCAACCTTAAAATTGAGAAAAATAAGTATTCTACAAACCAGCTGTAACAAAATTACAATGCATACAAATGAACTTAATCAGAGTAGAAGTAAAAGAAATATGTCAAAGTTTCTTTTTTAGAAAAAACAATTCTCTCTGACCAATTTTGTTTAGTCATTCCGTGGTCAATCTATATAAGTGCTGCTATCTATTGTTTATTTATCAGGAAATAATCTAGAAGAATCCTATAATCAAGATGTGCTTGCACTGCGTAACTAATTTTCGAAGAAAACCTATACTGCTTGGCTCCTGTGCCATCCATAAAAGAAATTACAAAAACACGAATGCAAATGTAGACGTCTTCGCATCCCCTGATACAAAGAACCTAATATAACCTTGACATAAAGATCCGCAATCTCCTCATCGGGACCGATACTTAACAGCCCCGAAACCCAAAGACAAAGTATTCGAAAATATATCTTCGTCGTTCCCTCGAATTAAATAAAGACAAAGCTGTAGGAAATTACGGGAAAAAAATGTATGGCGCATCGGGCAAATTGCGATCGGCGATCCTCGGCCATATGTTCCGTTATTACGCAAACGTACGCATCTTAGCTCGGGGCGACACGAAAAATAAGACATTAAGCCGGTGATTGTTTGTCATTACATCGCGGAGCGGGACTTCGGATCGTCTCTTCTTACCCTTTCGGCCGATTAATCGGTTCCCGGTCGATAAATTCGCGGCGGTTCCACGGCGCAGATTGATGGGGCCCCAGATAGAAGGCGGAAAGATTAACGTGCACGGTTTCGATTAATGTTTTCGTCGTACGCGAAACGCGGGAACCGATACCATCGTTGAACCCGTGTGCGAACACGCGTGTGCAACGTGTGTGTGTGTATGTGTGGCTGCGCGGTAAGAACGCCTATAAACTTTCGTGTCCCGAGATAGGGATCGTCAGGTGCGAAAAGCGTGACGGTTTCTGGAGGGAAAGCGCCTCGAGACCTTACGGGTGTTTCGACGACTATATACGTCGGCGCGATCCGTGTCTCTGTTGTGAGAAAGGCAACGCTCAGAAACCACCGTGGGCGTTTTCCCTCTGCGAAACCTCGTCGCGGTCTTTAATCGTCCCTAAATTATCTTTGTAATTGTTCATTGCTAAGCTGCGGAACAGTACGCGCGATCAAAATTCTCCAAAACGGTTTGTCTTGTATTTTTAAGTTCCTTTAAGTGCTATCAAGGTTGCACATGGGAATATTCCGAAATATTAGTAAATATTTCTTAATATATTTTTTAAACAAATTTAAAGCAACAACAACATTTAAAATCGGTTGGAGTATCTAGATTCCTTATTGCAAAATACACTATTTCCCATTTGAATCATCTCTCTAGCTCTAGTAGTTTCAGAGATATTCGGCCAAATGTATAGGGGTTGTTTTCACCCCTTCGCTACGTTAGATGATCGCAGAGAGAAAACTCCATGTGCAACACTTTTGGCAAGAATCGAGTCCTTTTAAATGTTTGTTAACGTCTGGATCAACCTTTGTTAGTGTCTTTAACGTATTTGACATCCGCGATCCACTTTCTACCCTTAACATTACTTTTTTCAGACGCGAAGTCCCATCACAGTAGTTAGAAATGGCGATATCGGATTGTTCCTTTCGATTTCGCGGCAAAAGAAGCAACCGCCAGAAAACTCAAGAAATGTTCGAACTCACCCCAACTCCGAAGGGATGAAAGCCCTCGAAAATGCTTCTCGCCGCAATAAAAATCGTGTCGAAAAAATCGCAGCAAAGACGAGAGGTTTGAGCGATTCCGGGCCGACATGGTGCGGGTCGTAGTACGCTTGTCGTCCGTACATCGCCGAGACACCGTGGCGGCAGCAGCAGGTTGATGGATGCCGGGTCTCACGAGAAACTGCTCGGACGAGGGTGGTGGGGGGTCCGCGGGTACATTCCATCTCGACGAGTATTGGTAGCCGGCGTCGCGTCGGTGGCGGGTATCGGTGTGGCTGTTGGCGGAACTGTCGCCGGTCGATGTATGGGTAGCCGTCTAGTATGGGTAGCCGTCTAGCATTGGTGTGCGTGGCCGGTTGGGATGGGTAGGGGGCGAGTCCGGTGCGCCGGCGGGGAGGGGGTAAGTAAGTACGGTGGGTGCCAGGGCGACCCTTGGTTGCGGGTCCGTAGGATACCCGGGGAGACAGCGGCGCGGAAGAAGAGAGACACGGGGAACGGTCGGGACTGTTGGCAGAGCGAGCCAGGGCGAAGGCTGGATGCCGCGAAAGGAGACAGAAACAAAACGAAAGGACAGGGACCCGGTCTGAGTCGGGTAGGAGAGGGTGGGAGGGAGCAGAGGAAACCGTGGGGGTGGGAGGTGCCCGGCCGAGAGGACTGGCCGGGTGGTGGGGGCCGTTTGTCCACGGTCACCAACACACGCGCTAATCCGTGCCGGCCAAACAGACGACTCTCTTTCTAACCCCGTCTGTGTTCTCCTCTCTGTTGTTGCAGCGCTGGCGCGACTCTCGGGTCTCCACCAGCAGCGGCCGGGTGGGGATGTCGTCTCCAGCCCCCGAGTCGTTGGTAGGGAGGACAAAAGCGGCGGAGGGAGGGCGAGGCAGGCGACGCCGGCGACCGCGGTGACGACGACGCCGACGACGCCGAGGGAAGGAGCTCGCGGCGGTGGCGGCGGCGGCGGCGGCGGAGGCGGAGGTGCCGATCCGACGACTGCCACCGCCGGGGGAACTCCGGCGAGTGGGGCCAAGCAGACTGGAGGAGGAACCGGTGGTGGGGAGCCGAACTGTGGAAGTGGTGGCGGCTCCAACGGTGGTAGGGACTCCGGTGGTGGGGGAAACGAGGCTGGTGGGGCCCGCGATGTCGCGGAGAAGGAGGAGAGGCCACCGGCTTCAGAGAGTGTCGAGCCGACGGCCGCGTTTGACGTCGCATCCCTCGTACTCTACGGCTCGCGCGCACTACCGATCCGCCTTAAGATCTTGCTCGATCAGTTGTTCAACCAGTTGCCGCACGCGCAAGTGACACGTTTACTAGCCGCTTTCGGCTGGACGTACGAGGATTACGCAAGAGGATACATACTGCAGGTGAGTCGTAACACTGTTCTGCGAATTGACGGTCCACCGGACGTAGGCCACCCTTCTCGAGGATTCTGGGAAAGATCGTCACCGCAAAGTTTCGTGAAAAGTGCCGGAGGATCGTTTAGAGGTGCATTGGACACGGCAATGTGCTTGACTTGACGGCTGACGGACGAAGTGACAGTGTGACACGGGGTTAGGTTTCCTTGGCTCGATTGTGATCTATGTTGTGCGACAGAGGGTCGGATTGTCGTTGAGATACACTTCGTAAGATCGAGAGTGATTTTTCTGGTAGGCTACTAGTGGAATAGGGTCTGGGAAGCGACCGTTGATCAGACTAGCGGAATAGGCTTCTCGGTGTCAGACGAACCGTTCGCAAGTTGATTAGGCTGGTACAGTTGTTTTGATAGGTAGGGTCACCCGGCACCAACGTCGCCTACGATTTACGCGTTTCTTCTTCGTCAATTTCGAACGAGATCACGATGATAGCCTTGCTGTTTAGGGACCGGTGCCGATCTATAAATCCTCCGACTCCGATCGCGGACTTCGCGCGATTATCGAACGCGCCGCCTCGGGACAAAGTGAGCATCGGCAGCCAGTGTCGGACAATCGTTGATCTACAAATGGATTTCGATGACGCGAATCGTGAACTTGGTGGGTACTCGGGAGCGCAAAGTGAGGATCGGGGACCAGTGACAAGGACGTGCCAGTGATTCTCGACGCCGAGTGATCGTCGTCGATCATGCCGCGTGATCGACGGCAAGCCTACGCGACCGGGATCGATCCCGGAAGCTTGGGACAGTGAGAACGCATCGGCGAACGGTGTTTGAAAGTGCAGATGGTGGAGCAGTGATCGTGTGCCCGTTGCATCGAGATCGTCTAGATCGCGGTGATCGTACTGTCGCATGGAAATCGGGATTCGTTCGACCGGCGCGATGTCCTCCGGCTGGATCGAGGAAGGATCCTTGATTCTCAGTGTACTCGTTGGCATAAATCATGGATCTCGAAGGATCGAACGAAATTTTCAAGACGGTCGGAGTTCGGATTCTGTGCGAGATCGATTGCTGTTATTGATTCCTGTGTTGTGAGATCGATGACGGCGATGGCAGATCTGTATATACCGATGACTGAAAAGGATCTATGAAACTCTCGATGGACCTTGTGAAAGATGAAAATATCCTACGCAGTGATGTACTTTCGCGGGTCCGGAAGATCGTGATGTGGAAGACGAAGAGACTGTTGAAATTGATCCGCGAGGATCTAGGAGATTGAGCAGTGAAATGTCAGACTCTGAGGGACACTGATAACCTACTGTAACGATAAACGTCGCTGAACGGACGTTTGTTAACAATGCCGCGGGCCGGACAACAGTGTGAAGTGAAGACCGCGCTATCGAATAATTAATCACTGCCATCGACAACGCTCGTTTCTACGCATTAAGTGAACAGTACCTAGTTGTGCGGAACGCTCTGAAGTGACAACAGACCTTCTTGGCGAACCTCTTTGGAAGGGGTCAATGAACCTACCTGAAAAAATAAACAAGCTTGACCAGCCACCTTCTGAGAAAATTGTTGTGCATTCATCGCGAAGACACCTGGAGCTGTGTTATCTTACGAGGCGTGCGACGAAATTGCGCGCGCTCGGAAACGATATACCGCACGTCGAAGGTCTACAAAGTTTCTTTCCGTCGTCTGTCATTTAGAAATTCGATCAAGGAAATTAATAATCGATCGCCGATCCGGTGATCGAAAAAAACTCGTCGCCTCGAACCGAATCGCTGGACTGCAACCGCAACGGCAACGCGTCTCTCGCGAGCCGACCGAACAATTCGAAACCAAGGGACCGATTAATTACCGAACGAGATCAATTAATCATCGATAAAACCGAACCACGGTCCAATTATCTCGGAGCAGGAGCAGGAGATCGGCGAATTATGCAAGGGGAACAATTAATCGTCGAAAAACGAAGGCGAGCGGTGTCGCGAAAGAGTGTCCAGCGGCGAGATCGGGTCAATTAGCCCGCGAGCCGATCGCTCCGATGATTAAGATCGAAAAGCGGCTACGTGGGAGAGGTGGGACGAGTGTAGGAGGCGAACGAGGAAGAGGACGAGGAGGCGACGAGGAAGAACCGGCGAGGAGAGGAGCGGAGAGGAGAAAGAGAGACCGTTCGGGCATGTTCCTGGGAAACGTGTCGCGGCGTAAATTCCGCGGAACTTTGAAAACACGCGCGCCGCGCGTACACGAGCCCGAGACATTAATCTCGCGAGTCGCGCTAGAAAATGGCCAGTATCCGTGTAAACTGAATTGCGCCGATGTCAGCGTGAAATTAAAACGTATGGAGAACCGGTTTCCACCTCGACGGTGTGCTCGATCGCTTCCTCGCTCTCGCTCGTCCGCTTGTCCGCTCGCGCGCGCTCGCTCTGTCCACGCGGAACCGACCGGAGAACCACGACGCGACGCCCCGGAATTTAATCGGACGAGCAGAGCTCTACGCGCTCGATCCGAAATCGGCTTGATCTTTGACCGGGAACGGTGCATCTCGTGAATCGCGCGATCTTCGGCCAGAGTTCAGGCTTCCCTTGATCTTCGCGATCCTCTCGTTCCTCCAGTTATGTTAGCTTCGTCTCTCGGAACACCGCGATTTTTGTTTTCGGTCTAGGCGTGTCGCTCTCTCTCTCTCTCGATCTCGATCTCAATCTCGATCTCGATCTAGGAATCATTATGCAGAACACTCCGTGAGCAAAATGTTTCGCGATCTTTGTATCTCATCATCGGGCGCTGACCTGTAGCATAAACGTTGAATCAAGACGTTCTAATGTGACATACTCTGGGAATAAAATGGCGAAGAGAGTTAGGGTACAAATGTAGCATATTCGAAGAGAAACGTTCGAAATTCCTAGCGTTCTATTCAGAATGCACTCTGTTAGAACTCGAAACTCTATTGGACATCGACGATTTAAAATAAGATTTCCTGGCAGCATAGCGTTCTTCGATGATAAATATTGGATTTAGATCTTCCGATGAATAATGTTTAATGAACGGTCTTGTGAACTGTCAGAGTTCTAGTCGATATAGAATATAGTCTCTTATAAATTTCTATGAGATCAAAGTGTTCTATAGTCTTGGTCTTCCGTTCGCTATAAAACTTTGGAGCGGATATCGAATGTAAAAGTTCCTTTATAACCACTCTAAAAGCTAAGTATCCGACAGTCTTAGCGTTCAGTTCTGAAAGCATTCTTCGTAACGTACGCTGAACTTAGACATCAATTTTTCAATTTTCTTACTGTTTCACGCATTTCTTGCATCTCTTACATGTTACATTGATTACAGTTTCAGCGTTCCCTTTAACAAAGAAGATGCGCTTTCGATTGAACATTGCACTCTGATACAACTGTATATTCGCAGTATTCTAGACAGTATACCAGAAAAGCGCACTGAACTCGCGGCGAGTGATTGACTATATTTATCCATTAAAACGGTGCCATTTATTTTTCTGGAGTGCATCCCAAGAGTTCAAAGACTCCGTTTATATAACGCTGCCAGAAAAATATCGCAACAGAATGTCGAAACGTTTCGCATAATTTTGAAATGTGTGTGCAATATACGTACATTAAACCCAGTCAACTGTTTTTGACGAGTATTCTCGTCATGAAGAAATGGCAACATTTTGTGTTATAACGAGTATACTCGTCGAAAACAGTTAACTGGTTGGGAAGGATATATATATACTTCGATATTCATTGTTAAATTATATATTTGATAAAAATGTTTCATTTAAACGAAATACGAAGAATCTTAAACTTATATACAGTATAATTATAGCAACTTACACACTTTTCAAAGAGATCGCAACAGCCAACCGGTTAAAAAAAGAAGCCGACAAGAATGGATAAACTGACAGTCGATTTTCTTCAATTTCCTAGGCTGTTCGTCGGAGAGATAAAAATCGCAAGAAGTACAAGGAAAGGTTCCGGACCTTTCGTCTCCTCCGCGACTGCGAATTGCATCATAGACGTGTGTGGTCCCGAGAATCCGGTGTCCGGGAGTGTCGTAGGTTCGGGCAGAAGGCTCGCGATCACTCAAAACTGGCGGAACGTGTCCGGAATGCGTATCCGGGGCCGCCCTTCGTTCGTTCACGCACGTTTTTCTGCGGGTCCGAGTCCACCCCGAGGGCGTCTCGTACTTGAAATCACGATAATGGGTGATTACGATGCCCGCAGGGCCACAATTTTTCCCTGAAATTCTGTTAGTTTCGTCGCGAGCCCCGGACCCCGGCCTCCCGAAACACGCTGTCCATCATGCTTAAGCGATTTCGCCCTCTGGAAACCATATTTCAAAGCTTTTTCGCGGAGAGAACAAAACCGAAACGACGCTGACAATCTTCTTAACCACTTCCTCCCTGCCGTTCTTCGCGAGTCCCCTGAAATTTACCGGCGACGATGCGTGTGTGTGTGTTTAGCGTCGCCGAAAGAAACTCGATCGTTAGAACTGTGTACAGCAGATCGAATCAGCTTATTTCGCATCCCCGTTTTGCAACTATCACGAACACGACTAAACAAAATTATCCTGCTGGATAGCCGTCGAGCATTTATTCATCCGACCGGCGCATAAAGTCCGAAGCTTCGCGTCGAATTTAAAATCAAAGCTCTCGGAAAAGAAGCACGACCGACTGAGATGTAAACACATAAAACTATCGAGCGAGGCGTAACAATATTTGCATTCCACTTTTATTTGTCAAACACGCGAAGGGAATGCGCGACCCGCCGTAAACGAAACTATGAAACACATTAAACATGTCGCCTTGCTAACACAAGCTGAACGAGTTCATTTGAATACGCGGCTATAATTTCGTGCCAGCGCTTGCCGCGGCTAAATTCCCGTATCAAAATTCTGACGCGTCGTGCCTGACAGAATATTACACTTCCGAGGACCGTTACCGAAATAGCTGGTGGCAGCTAGCGCGTCGAAATTCGCACTATGCCACGTAAAACCGGCTCCGCTCTCAACTTT